ACTCAATGTCAGGCATTTGCTCCGGAAGGGGGATGTGGGTCCAGTACAACCGCCGCCTTTGCTGTGGTGATACCCACTTCGAATTAGTGAGCCCAGGCACAACTCCCCTTAAGTGCTTAGTAATCTCAAATCTATCTTCCCATTTCATTGAGAAAACATTCTCGGGCAGAAACCATTTTGGTTTCGCCTCATTCATTACTCTTAGAATCATAAAAATTAATCTACTTTTCGGCCCGTGCAATCCATGTTCTCCCGCCATTCTTTCCTCAGTTTCATGCTTAGCCAGTTTCCATGTATGTTTCCCATGTCATTTTGCCCAGCTTATGTGTGTCGTCCTCATCCGTCCTTTCTCGTATCCAGGCTTAACAATGCGCGTAACTTAGTCCTCTTATTCACATCTTTCTTCTGGCCTCTTGCCAGGCCTCTCTCATACTCATGCAAAGTCCATTATACCTGTATCTCTTTTCTGGGCGTCTTGCCAGACTTTTCCTTAGGTCTATGCAAAGCCAATTTCACAAAATCTTTCTTTTCTGAACATCCTGCCAGGCCTTCTCTCAAGCCTATGCCAGGTCAAATACTCGTCCATTTCTTTCCTGGACATCCCGCCAGGTCTCTTCTCAAGCCCATGCGGGGACATTCACACATCTTTTCCTCAGTTGGACACCTTGAGAGGCCTTTTCTCAAGCTCATGCAACGTAAATTACTCATCCGTTTCTTTTCTCGACATCTTGTCAGGCCTTTTCTCGAGCTCATGCAATGTCAATTATTCATCCGTTTCTCTTCTGGACATCTTGCCAGGCCTTTTCTCAAGCCTGCGCAAAGTCAATTACTCATCCATTCTTACGCTCATGGTATCCTTCTCTTTTGCACGCTTTTTCTTTTGGTAGATGACACACCTTCCCCCCACTCAAAATGCGATGTCCCCATCGCACGACTAGTTCTAACTCGGAGGTACGCAGACCTTGGCCCACCAACTGAGTAGACGGATGCCGGCCCATCAGCCCCAAAAAGGAAGGGTGATCAGTCCTCCCCCTGCTGATAACTCACCTCATCCCCTACTCCACTCCGACCTTTTGCTGCTTACGAGACGGGCGTCATCACTGAGGTACCACCCCACATCTGGAAGGTAGGTCCAGTCCAAGCCTCCCAGGACCCCATCTTGCCGTAAGTGCTTTCTCGTGAATCGTTCCTCCCGAGCGGTGTTTTCTTGGATCCAGCCTCTTTCTTTCAAGAGAGTTGGGGCTCTCTATTAGTCTGCGAGTGCAGTTACGAAGACCTCGCGGTTAGTCCCGGAACGGTTGTAATGATCTGGCAGGGCGGTGTCACTCGCCCTGTGGTGGTTGCGGCTTCCACCCGGTACCACGCCCGATTCCTCCCTCTGGACAGTGCTGCTCAACTTCACGCGCGCAACCGTGGTCCATTCCAAACGGCCGTGTCGCCCCTCTACGGCATGGCGTGTGGTTGGGGAGAAAAAATGAGACTTAGGAAAAAGAATGGCTCTCTTGCCCGTTTGGCACCACACCCTTGACGTTTAGGTTTCAACATGAGGCGCAGTTTGAACTCCCCGAGTAGAGCTCGTTGTCGGGGTTAGTTCCGGACGGCCAGCATCAATCAAAGAGAGAGGGGCTTTGGTCCTTCAACCCTTATTCCTCCTTATGAGGAGCAGGTCGCGCTGAGACTTTTCCCTTAACGGGTAGAGGTCTTGGGGTCGCGATGCAGGCATTGCTATCCCCCTTATGTTGAGACCTGAGACTAGAAAAAAAGAAAGCACAATCCTCATTCCATCCAAACTTCACAATACACCCTTCCCAACTGGTCTCATCCCATGCCCCATGTCCTTGTCTTGTGTACCCTTTTTCGAAGGTAGCTCATCCAAAAGTAGCCTTAATATGCTATCTTCTAATCTTATCACGACACAGTCTTTAGCTGGCCCTTCCATTACTCATCCTTTACAAGCTTACTCATACTATACACATTCTGCTCCACTGTTTTGCAATTGAGCAATAAAACCAGGATACTTGCCCAACACTCAATCAACATCTAATGCCTATTGTTGTCTTGTGCCTCGACTTGCTCGTTTCTTGATCCACCCTGTTCCTCAGCTGGTTGTCTAACCCCCAGGCCGAAGGTCTCGATTTCGCTCCTTAGCCTCACAATTTTCCGTAACTCTGCCTGCTGAAAAAATCCAGTGGTATGGCTTCCACCCCTGCCCTTGCAAGTTCCCGAGTCTTGACAATCCATTCGTGCCTGATCACATTGGTCCACTGTTGAAACCAAGGACTGGGTGTTGGTCCAAACTCGTCCTCCCATCTGAAAGCCCCGTCGCCCGGCTGGTGCATCGGAGTCCGCCCCTCTTCCCTAGGTCTCGAGATCTCATCCCTCTCATCCCCGCTGCTGATTTCTACGACTTCTCGTACATCCTCCTCCTTGTCCTCCTCGCCTTCTGTCTGTATGGGGCTATACTCACCTGCAAGGTTCTTCGAATCGTAGGTAAAGGGAATCTTTGTCGCCGTTCCATACCCCTCACAACTGTCGTGGCCGCTTCATCCTTCAAGCGGGCTTTCCCTTCTTTCCTCACCCTCCTCGTGTCCGTCGCGCATGTCTTGTCCCCCGTCGCTTTCCCCATGCCAAGTCCCACGTCACTTGCCCCTGTTGACTCCTTCCTCGTCAAAGACGTGAACCTTTTCTCCCATCTCCGCATTACCTCCTTCTTCCACTTCTGCCTTTTCCTTCCCTCCCTCACTGTCAGACGAGATTTCTATACCTTCTCCCTCGCGGAGGGGTGAGGGTTTCCTACACAAGCATTTCCTTCCACCCCTGCCTAGCACTGGCCCACCCATGAGTCCTATGTACAACTTCCTCTTCGCTGCCCTCCTCCCTTGGCTTGGTCCTGCTTCCTCCCCTCCGGTAGGCCTGTTGACCGCCCCGCTATCGTTCTCATTGCCGAATTCCATTTTTTTGGTCTTTTCTTGCTTTTCTCCTAGGTCCTGTATAACAAAACAACACCCACAATGCCCCGCATACGCACATTCCCCCCAGTCCGGTAGACAGCTCCCCTTTCTCAAAAAAATGCCCCCATTATGCCCCTTTTATACATTTCCCTCCCTTATGCAAAAAACGTCGTTTGTGAAGATCCCATTTTTTTTCCGTCAAAAACTATGGTACAATGCCCCAAACATCCCTTCCCATCGTCGCACAAGCCAGATATTGCAAACCCCCAAGTCATGCTGCCTTTCACCCTCAATCAGTCCAAACCATTGCCCCTGTCCCCCAAAAATGACAGTCCCATGGACATGGTCAGAGACAAACCATAGTGTGGGCAAGGCTGTGGTCAGTCTTTAGCTTGTGGCCCCTCAGTTTCCTTATCTTCGGCCTCCTAAAGCCATTGTTCCACTGAGTCCCGGCTTAGAAACCTGACCAATCGTTGCCCCGGGAAGGGCCCTTTCAATCCAGTTCCATCCAACTCTTCCAGTTCGAAGGTGTTCAGTCCCACCCACTTGGCGACCCGGTAGGGACCTTTGAACCTTCTTCCCAGCTGTCCCGACCAAGTACTCTCTAGTGCCGAGTTCCTTAGCAATACCATCTCTCCCACTTGAAGTGGCTCCTTTCTGACATTCTTAACCTGGTCCCACCTGGCTTTGTCCGTCATTCTGCTATCTAGTACGAGGTTGGCGATATCTTCGATGACCTCCTCGTTCTTAAGGATCTGTTGACATCTTGCCTCGATTAACTCTTCAGTAGTCATTTGCGGATCATCATCTAGCCTATTCCAGGTAGGTACCAAGGCTTCCACGGGAAAATCGATCTCTCTTCCGTACCAAAGCTCTGCCCGGATACATCCTGTTGTCCTTTTAGGGGTCATATTCTCTGCAAAGACAGCCTGCTTAAGATACCTAGGCCAGTTCCCCAGATGGTCCGCTGCGAGCTTTGCAATCGTGTTCTTCAAGGTTCGGTGCCCCCTTTCCACAGGTGCATTGGCCTCAGGGTGATACGGCTCGATGAGTTTGATCGGTACGCAGAGTCTCTTAAGCATCCCCAATACTTCTTGGTTCACAAACTCCGTCCCATTCTCTGCTATAAACCTCCTGACGAAAGGATGCCTCAAGTAGAAGTCTTCTATCCAGTCCGCCACACTCCTCCCTGTCTTTTTTCGAGGGCGACCGCCTCCACGAACCCACTCAAGTTGTCTCGCGCATGTAGAATATACCTGTACCCATCTGTTGATACGGGCATGACCGCAAGGTCGAGGTGGACCAGATGTCCCGGCCCTAGCACCCRCRTTGGTCTAAGCGGCTCGAAGACCCGCACCGAGCTTCGTTCTTGGCAAATAAGGCAAGTCTGGCAGTATATGGCGACCATGCCTGCCATGCCTGGCCAATAATAGAGTGGCGTCATCTTTGCAAGCGTTCCTTTGGACGACCGATGACCTCCAGCCAACCCATCGTGCATTGCGTGGATAACATCTACTTGCCTAGATCTTCCGCACACAACCCTTCTGGGCATAGCACCTTCCTCCCTTCGGAACAAATGCCCGCCCCTTAGGACGTA